AACAGCCAACAAGACGACACCTGCGGCGGACAAAACATCAGCGTGCCTGTGTGCAGTGTGCAGCAGGGTTTTCGTCGTGAAGAAAATGCGTGGACAGCAACAGTTGGGCAATGGCGTGTAGCAGCTAACAACCACAATGTCGATAGTTGCACAAACGTAAAAGCACAGCAACACGTAAACCTGTTGTGGACAAACATCAGCGTGTCTGTGTACCGGGATTTTCGTCATGAAAAAACTGCGTGCGCAATGATAGGGGGGGGGGGCAACGGCGTGAAACAACTAACCATTGAAACGGTGGTGAGTCGACTAACAATGCCATCGGCGCATGTATGCAGCAGTAACAAACACCAAAAGCGTACACGTGCAACCAGGTGGTCGCACGAATTTGACTTTGACTAAATACGTACCTGGTATGACATTCCATGATGTGAGGACCGGGCAACAGCGGCAGGCCTTTATCAATAGAGTGTCAACTAGATACTAGGTGCATGAAACACCCAATAGCCATGGTTGGTTGTGGAAACGCCGACAAGAACCGTCTGTTGTTGGTTATTTATTTATTTATTTTGTTTTCTTTCGAATTGCTTCATTATTTCTTCGGTTTCTAGGCTACGTGTTGGGGAGAGAGACGCACGAAACGCTCATCGTCTCTCCGGCCGCGTTAGCTGCAAAGGCCGGCGTCAACTCTTACAAATCCATCTCTCTCCCCACCAATACTAGCCGGGGGACTACGACTGCAAACGCAGGAGTCCCAAAACTGACCAAGTCCTCAAATGGTACACACCATTCTACAACACCTGACTAGATACCGAATATTCCCGAACTTATGCCCCCACCTTCAAAAGAAAAGGGATGGGAGGGCGGGATTTTCTAAACTGCCGCCGCTACTGCGTTAGGCGGCTGCTGCTGTCCTTCCGTTGCTTCACGCGCTCTGTAGCTGTCACACGTTACCCCACTTTGCTACAGCCCCTACGTGGACTCGATCACGGAAAGACACCCCCAACTATAGACTAATAATTCCAAACACCGTGACCCTGGGTTTCCGGTAGAAAATGAAGCCAAATTCAAATTCGACTGTTACAAAATAAACACCAGTTTATTCTATCTGCTTCGACGAACAAACCTTCCTTTTATTTTGTTTTCTTTCGAATTGCTTCATTATTTCTTCGGTTTCTAGGCTACGTGTTGGGGAGAGAGACGCACGAAACGCTCATCGTCTCTCCGGCCGCGTTAGCTGCAAAGGCCGGCGTCAACTCTTACAAATCCATCTCTCTCCCCACAAATACTAGCCGGGGGACTACGACTGCAAACGCAGGAGTCCCAAAACTGACCAAGTCCTCAAATGGTACACACCATTCTACAACACCCACATCGAGGTCAGTTTCTGGACGACTACCGAATAAGTCAACTATCCGTTCCCCCAGACGGTCCCCTCCCCCGGCTGTCTCGATACGATCCTACTGCCGTCTGTAAGTTTCCGTGACACTCGCCGCGAATCCTCTACATTGTTTCGCGCGTACGGCTTATATGCATCCGACCTCCACTTCCCTTCTCTCTGAATCACTCGTTCTGCGATGTCTCCGCCCGATGCAAGAGCCGTCGCGCCTCCAATTCGCAACGAGTGCAACGCGTACTCCTGGGGGTTACGCCCCGACTTCGCTACCACTTCTCTGACTGCACGGAGGGCAGCAGTATACCTCACTACTCTCACTGCTCTTCCACTACGGTACGAAGCCAACGGTGCGGAGTCAGGCAACGTCGCATGACACGATAACAGCTCCACCACAAGAGCCACCGCGCCGCCGCGTGCTCTCACACCTGACTGCGGTCCGGTGACTTCGTCTCGATATGGAGAGTCGCGTGCTGGTCGCTTCCCCAATGCTTGCGCCGTGTCCCGTCCCGCCCTTTTCTAAACTGCCGCCGCTACTGCGTTAGGCGGCTGCTGCTGTCCTTCCGTTGCTTCACGCGCTCTGTAGCTGTCACACGTTACCCGACTTTGCTACAGCCCCTGCGTGGACTCGATCACGGAATGACACCCCCAACTATAGACGAATAATTCCAAACACCGTGACCCTGGGTTTCCGGTAGAAAATGAAGCCAAATTCTAATTCGACTGTTACAAAATAAACACCAGTTTATTCTATCTGCTTCGACGAACAAACCTTCCTTTTATTTATTGCATAGTCTAAGTGTCCGCAGAATACATGTAGTAGATGTTTCCGTGCCAAAGAGGACTGCGGAACATCTTCCGACATCCATACGGTACACATGCCCACCGACATCGCAGTGCAAACGTATGGTACGACCAGACCTCCCTCGTAGCCTTCTAAAGAGAAGCGCGCGTAGCTGCACAGCCATCAAGACGTAAGAGTCAAGGTGCTGACCACACCATCAGCGCGTGTGCAGCAGCGATCAGCAGTCGATCCGTCCAAATCGAACAAAACATTCGTGAGCACAACAGCTGCGCATGTAAATAGAAATACATAGCTGTAATGTAAACAACAGCAAATTAACCCTTTACAACAGCAAGGTGAAACTGTAACTGTTGTATCGATAACAATCAAGGGAAAGGCAACAACCATCCCGGCGTGCGTGTGCAGCCGCACTCAGTCCAAACGAAATAAGACCGTCGTGAGCACCGTGAGGACACGGCGTGTGCAAGAGGGATCAGAGAGCGGCACAACGGTTTGCAATTGTTTGCAACATCCAACGAGACGTAACTAACTGTGGAACGTCTGACAGCAACATCGGCGTCTTATGTGCAACAACAGCTGATCAGTGCAAAACGAACAAGACAGTCAGTCATCAGAGAACAAGCTGTGTCCGGCGACCCGCAGTCAAACGAATTAATTGTGTTGATTGCGTGACCTTCATGGGAGAACGTCAACACAACGAACGGTGCGCGCACCGAATTGTATAAAACGAGAGTGTAGCTGAAGCAATAACCACACAACAAGAAGGAGGCACTCCTTCGTGGTGCGACCCCAGGCCGCCTCATCAGTGTATATGGCAGACATACATGTGTGAGACCAAGCAGCCATGTGCGCCCCAGAGTTGTGGACAAACTGAACACCGAGCAGGTGTTCCACGGGCAACATTCGTGCGTGTGCCAACAGTGCTGCATCGTTCGCAACGGAACCATACAGCAGTGCCATCCGACACACGACGCGCGCGCATGTCTCTCCGCGCGAACAGACAGCCTAGCACGGGCATGACACGTCAACTTGGAGTACGGTGTCATACCCCGAAGAAAACTCGCACGCGAACCAACGGGTGCAGGTGTCAGCAAGAAACAAAAAAAAACAATTCGTGTGTGTGCTTTTTTTTTTTTTTTTTTCGAGAACTATCAAGCCATAACGTAGTAGTTCCGCAGAAAAAAATGATGCATGTCCGCACATAAGACCACCATGGTTGCAGTGTCCACGTCAAGAATACCGCCAAACACCATCCTCTGGTTTGTCGTGTGCCCAGTGAGCAGCGCTGTTGGAAGAAGCGGCACTCAGATGTGGGCACTCCCCCCAAACGCAAAAGCACGTCCTCTAACGACGAGCCCTGATCGCTCAACTCATGCGGTTGCGGTCAAAGGACCCCCCAAGGTCCAACGTAGCCCCCCCCCGTGCCCGGCACCAGCGCGGTGTAGCACGGCGAAGCATAGGCCGCGAAGGTCGCGTCCACGAACGTGGCCGTGTAGCGGTCAGGTTGAGGAGTGGAGGTAAACGCGGGCCCACCGGTGAGCGCGCAGTCGCTGTGGGGCCGAGAGAGCCACCGCCAAGCAGTCGCCGAAGCCGCCGCGGCGGAACGCCGCGTGTTGCGAGGCGGCCTGTTACTCTGTCAAGTATTTCCTGTCTCCTCGATAGCTCCGGCGTATTTCGGGAGAGAGAAAGGGGACTGAACAAGGTAGAGTCATTTTCCAACATGCTTCATGGGATATCTGACTCTTCCCGATTTCGTTCCGAAATCCGGATTCATCTCAAATCCGAGACTACTTCTGTATTCATGCGTGACTCTCCCACAGGCAACAACCCTGGTAAGTAGCGCTGTGGCGAAAACAAGCCGCCACCACCCACACACTATATATGTGTGTGGTTTAGGCATTTACACTTCTGTATTCATGCGTGAATCGCCCACAGGCAACAACCCTGGTAAGTAGCGCTGTTGCGAAAAGAAGACCACCACCACAGCCACCTCACACTATATATTATATGTGTGTGGTTTCGGCATTTACCCTTCTGTGTTCATGCGTGACTCGCCCACAGGCAACAGCCCTGGAAGTAGCGCCGTAGCGAAAACAAGCCCACCACCACGGCCACAACCCACACACAGTTTATGTGTGTCGTTTCGGCAATTACACCTCTGTATTCATGCGTGACTCGCCCACAGGCAACAACCCTGGTAAGTAGGGCTGTTGTGAAAACGAGCCCACCACCCAGCCGCGACACACAGTTTATGTGTGTGGTTTGGGCATTCACACTTGTTCATGCGTGACTCGCCCACAGGCAACAATCCTGGTAAGTAGCGCTGTGGCGAAAACAATCCCACCACCACGGCCGCCACACACTATTTATTTGTGTGGTTTCGGCATTAGGGAGTTTCGGCGTTTTTTTTTGTTTTGTCAGACAAACTGGTCAGACAAAAGGCTCAGATATTTTTGGGTGGATATTTTATCCGACCGAGTTGCCTCAGATATTTTCGGCGGCGGGATCAGTGCCGAATGGATCTGACGTGGCGGTGGGTTTCGCACTGATTGGCCAAAGGCTGAGCATAGTTGAGCCGCATATTTTCTCGCCGCACCCGCTGCACAGGACTGTGCGCTGTGCGCACCACCAGCAATCGGTGTGCTGTGTGCCCTCTTCTCTCACTTAGTTGTCAGTCACGGCCTCAGTTGCCTGTGGACTAACAGTGAAGTGATGCCTCGCCTACGCATTAGAGAGAGAGTAGCACGTAGGACCCGTGCGCTTGCGTTCCTCCAACCGCTAGCGGCTTGCGAACTACACTCTCAAATGTGGTTCTGGGCACACATCGGCTTCATCTACACGGTTGGGCGGCTTCCTATCGACGACACGGCAACCCCTTTGCCCGCGAGGGACATCTTCACGTTCTTGAGCGCACAGGACTGCATCAACTTTCTCCGCTTTTCTCGAGAACAGGTATGTAGGTCAGGCCAGGAATAACTGCTGTTTGCGCTCCTGCTGCTCCTACAGCAGCAGCGCTGGTGTACGTGTATAGGTCGCAGAGGTTTGGGTCGTCCGGGCATCTCTCTCTCTGCCTGTCTCTCTCTGTCTGTCTCTCTGCCTCTCTCTGTCTCTCTCTCCTCTCTCTGTCCCTTTCTTACTGCGTCTGTCTCTCTGTGTGTCTGTGTTTCAGCGTGTCTATTGTATATGCTCTTACCTTAGCCCTCTGTGTGCCTGCCTGTCGGTTTACCTCGATCTACAAAAGTCTAGACTGTACAGGTTTCAAACCACACCTCTATATTTTTTCATGTGTGCCTCTCTTTTTTGCTCCCTGTGAGCCTCTCCCGCACACTTTCTCGCGACGACTCGATGCTGATCCCCGGAATAGAGAAGAAGTAGACTGCGTACACATGGCATACAGTATAGAATTGTAAAGGCAAGGCTCCTCGTAATTCTTCGATAAAACCCAGGTATGCAATCCGGTGTGACTACAGAACGGGACCGAAAATGACGAAAAATTAGGCTGAAAACAAATTACTCAAATGTTTTCGAAAACTATGAAAAGAGGGCTTTCACAGGTCAACCTCGGTGAAGACATAAGGAACAAGGGGTAGCTGGTGGGGCATGTCCAATAAGAAACGTCCCACTGCTGAGTCTGTCATGCTCCCACCCCCTGCCTAGGTGTGTAGTGTTCCGGTAGGGGGGGAGAGTTTTTTTTTCGCGGCTCGGTTGGCGCTACTCCAATGTTCGCCATACCGAACTGTCGGTTTAATACTGCATGAAGGCGCGTTGTTGTTCCCTTCGCCAGAAATAAGAGAATAAGCAAGTATGAGATTCAGCAGGATGCGACAGCCCACAGGAATAAGAAAACGGCTTGAAGACAGTAGCCGACTTCGGCTGGTCCTTCTGCCCAACATCAGAAATTGAGGCTCGACCCGATTTGGACGTTCCTTATCTCCGGGGCCGTTCTGTAGTGTCAGTGACCGGCAATGTCTACCGCAGTACCTGCGCCATGCTGGGTCCTGTACTGCATTCGCATACGACCAGACGTACATATTTTGCGTAGCATCCGACGGGTACCACGCAAGCCATATATCGTATGCTCAGGACAGATTCGAGTTCTCGTCGTCCTTATTGCGTTGGCGTCCTGCTGGAGTCCATCGATGAAACGAGACGTTGACTTCGTGCTGACCACTGACCCCTGTGTTTTTAGGTAGTGGGGATTATTGGGTCGCGTAATCTCATGCAATCCTGCCGTAGCCCCCACGAACTTGTCCACTGATTAATACACTCTTTTTGCCGCGCCCGATGCCGTTTGTTGCTGCCGAACCGTAGATCATCATCACGGTGCAGCACCTCTGTGTGCCAGACATGATTCGGACAGACTGTGGGTACGTCATCGCTGGGCGTACGGCACTCTGCGTGCTGCTGTATCGGCTGGCTTTCCCGTGCCGGTACAAGGACATGCGCTTGATATTTCACAGGTCGGATTCATGTCTCTGCGAAACCTTCAACTACATGCTGCACTTCATGAATGAGACGTGGGGGTCGATGCTGACCCTAGATTTAGGGAGGCTGGTACCGCGGCTGGACTTTTTCGCAGAGAGGCTACAGACATGGGGTTGTCCCCTGCCCAACTGCTGGGCGTTCATCGACGGCACCGTGCGCGCTATCTGTAGGTGCGTGTTCAGTAGCACCAAGCAAGAGGATCAATTGGTCCATTATAACACCCTCAGTCGTCATGGTCCTGTTGTTTTCTACTCCAATCCCATGATTGTCTTCTAAAGAACATTGGCCGTTTCCCTTCACCGGGAGGTTATCTCCGCCATCTCGTGGTGTACATTTGGAGCGCATAGTACAACTGCCGAGAGACAGGTCCACCCAAACTTCTCCACAGTCCCTTATTTGCTGAAAACCTGTAGCGGCCCGCAGGAGTTAAGAATACCCGTCATACGGCAGCAATAAACATAGTCGTTATTTGTAAGACCCCCGGTTGTTGTCCGTGCACGTGTCCTCACCCTACACGCGAGGAGGGCGTGACACCAAACGCATTCTGGCATTTGCGAGCCTTCTCGGTGTTTGCGTAATCGTGTTGGAGGAGCATTTGGTCCCCCCAATTCCTTTCTGACCCTGCTTGTACGTAATTGTTGCACCTGGGGTATTCGACAGGACGATACGAGAGCAACGCGCGTTCTTCAACGGACACAAGCGCTACCACGCGATTAAGCTCCAGAGTGTTGTCACTCCGGACGGCATCATGGTAGACCTCTTTGGGCCGGAGCTGGGCACTCGGCATGACGTCCACCTGTTGCACGAGTCTGGTGTGCTCGTGATGTGCCAAGAACACATGAACAGTGCATCTGGAGACCCGTACGTCGTCTACGGGGACCCCGCGTATGGCATGAGTACCCACCTCAACTGCCCGTACTCCGCGGAGGCGTATGGTCCCCTATCGGCGGGTATGATTGAGTTCAACAAGCAAATGAGTGCATGCAGAGTCGCCGTGGAGTGGGTATTCAAGGAGATGACGTCGAAGTGGGCATTCGTTGCGCTCAAGAACCAACAGAAGCATCTTCTGAGCCCCATAGGGGTACGTACAGTACATCCACAGCTGCTTGAACGGGGGCAACGAGATCTCCCAGTTTTTCGAGTGCCCACCGCCGTCGTTAGAGGAGTACCTGGGTGTTGCGTAAGATTGTATGCAGAACGCGTACTGTTCCCATTCGTGTGTGGTCGCGGTATCGCCACGATGAATGGTCGGCGTACGACTACTACTGTGCTCTGGTGACTCTAGTATCCGTCTTGTCTTCCTTTCATCGGTGATCCTAATGGCTTGTGGCTTGCGGAAACTGAACGGATAGTATTGGGCCGTACGCGCAGAAGTGGTAATGGTCAACAAGCTGAAACATCGTTTTTGTTCCAATCTTTTGTTCGAGTGGCGAAATGCTCCTGCAGGAATGCTGGTGTCATGAAGATATTTGCTGAGGAATATTCTTGTGGATTGGCATCTTGAGAAGTACTGAGAAGCGATCTGGATGGCGATCGCAGTTCAACCTTGTACGGCGTTGGTTTTCGGGGGAGGATCCGTCATTAATTGGTGATTGGTGGAGACGGGTTTGGACGGAAGAGGTAGGATTTGGGAGAGGGTACTGTCTTGAGGGGACAGAATATGTACTGATGGATGAAGAAACATGATTAGGTATTTGGTGAATCAACGGATTCCAGACGGTGACGTCTTGCAGGACACCGTTGTCTGGGGAGATTCAGTACGAATTGGAACGATGGACTATCAATGTTGGGATTGAGGCTACTAAGGCCACGTTGCGCGATGTGAGGCCAAGAATCAATATATCGTATCTACTGTAGTACCGACGGGCTGCTGTAAGTACTCAGTATGTACGGATCGCACTAGGTACGGATAGCACTAGGTTTGGATCTACGGAGATCTAGGTTGCGTGTATCATGTTGGTATGCGTTTTGTAGAAGGGCGATACCCCTTCTACGTGCATGGACACCAGTCCCAAACTTCGTTTTTGTTCACGATCCAATTACAAATTTTGTATCTGACTAGAGATACCTAAGGTCAACTTGGGGACGAAACATGCAAAAATGAAAGCTGGAGGGAGGGTCAACAGCAACGTGCGGTAAAGCATGAGTTTTATTTTCCGCCCAAGTTTGCTTGTCGTTTCAGTATTGCCGCGCGCTGGTACAGCGGGCAGATACTCTTGTTCGGGAGGTGTTGGCCACGCTTAGATGCCAGCGGCTCCCCTCGAGGCTCACGCCCGCCTGCGGCGTCCGGGTTGTTGCCAGATAGTGAAGCAAAAAAGTCAATTACGGGAAACGGCTCCGCGGGTAGTTGCTTGGGAACTCTGGCTAGCATTTTCGTGATATGTTACAAGCAACGGCCCGATACACCGATCGGGGGCCCTCGCTCGGTCAGTGGTAAGTTGTTGCCGTCCGGGCGTGCTTCGAAGCCACCGATGAACCTAAGCATCCGAAACGCACGAAGACCCAACACACAACCAACAACCAAGAGCACCCAGGAAATGCACGGCTGGCCGTTGCCCCATCTGGATCTGTGCTTTGATGTCATGCCGCCTACGGCTCGCTACATGTTATTTTGTGTGGGTCTACATCGTACGCAGTGGAACGCTAGCGCGTGTTTGGGTGGTGTGAGCTTCTTCTATTGTTGCAATAGTCACCGCGACCTTTGCGTGCCCAACGCGACCGAACCCCGTCTTGATTCAGACCGGTTCCGTCGTTGGCGATGTGATTCTCAGTAGTCATCACTGTGTGGTGTGGGGATGGTTTGGAGTATTTATCAGAGATGAACTCTGTATTTTCTCCGGCGGCCCTAGTTGCTTTTATTTTATCTTTTTTTTGTCTGATTTGGGAAGTCGCATCTTCGATATTTATTTGAGGTTGAGTATTGGATTGAACATAACGTATCTGTCTTGGGGATGAAGGCTTGTGGGTGTTGACGACCCGTATCGGCTCTCGAAGAGGTGTTGTTGGTTGTCGTAAAAAAAGGGTAGTCCTAATTTACTCTTGACTTGGTGCGTGCTCTCTCCGCAGTGTGTCGCGCAAGCAAGTAGAACGTGCGTATGCAGCAATGACCGTTGATGTACATAAACAGAGCACCCGATTGTGCATTCTTATTAGACACAAGTCAAAGGCGAACTCAAGTGCTCTGTGTAAGCCTGTACGTGTCCTGTGCCGCTGCAGCGCGGCGTGCCAACTCACTTGTTGTGCCGCTGGACCCTTTAGTACGAGAGGTCTGGCTCTGAGTATGCAGGAAGGTCGGAAGGAGAAGAAGATGGTTTGGTGGAAATGTAACTACTTGATCAGTGGAGACCACAAAGAATGTAGAGAGACAGAGGGGTAGTGAACCCCGGAGAAGAAGAGAGGTCGAGAAACCTCAAAGGAGCAAAGGGAGAGGATGGGGCGAGTACGCGGTCATCCTCGAAATCAGGGAAGCACACCTATCCGACAACGTCGACCAATCACACGTGTTCAGAGTGCGGTACTGGTAAGCTACGATACGTTTCTGGAAGGCTGACTTCAACACCATGCTCTCGAATTTGTGCCACGTATGCACATCAGTATTGTACTTGCACGCACAAGTGATTACTTGCACTGACGTACGACAAACCGCGGAATACAGCTTCAACAATTGAACTACTTCCAAATTCGACTGCTGAGCGCATACGAACGAATATTCGTTCAGTCAAGCACGCAAGTCTGGGTTACTTGCTGCGGTACGTATCCTTTCATACACGCAAGTCAGAGGCACTTGCCACAACTACCCGATGCATACATATTTCCGAGCACGCATATCTGAGCTACTTGCACTATGACATATTTCTGGAAATCTAGGCTATGCAGAATATTTCTGGATATGAAACACGGAACATCAACCATGTCTCCATATTCCGAGTATGACAGACCATACGGAATTTTACCTACTACATGACCAAGCGACATTGACAATATTTGAACTAGTCAAACTGACTACCTGTTGCTGAAGCTACGGTAGTGCCAAATATTCCAACAATCTGCATCCACGACTTCCCAGGGTGGGCTATAAGCATTGTACGAGCATTTCATGAACGTTGTATGGGCGTTAATTGGATATTTTTAATTTTCTTTGGATATGGATATTTGTCGTCGTTGAGGGGTGTTCAAGTAGCTTAAATGAAGATCAAAATCCCAGCCCCGCTCCCTCACTCTCCGAGTGGGCGCTGAGCGGACCTGGTATAAGAAGGCTAAAACAAGAAATCCAAAAACAACTGTGCGTACCCGAAGCCAGGAGCAACGAACTTGCTCCCTTCCCTAGGGTACTTACATATATTATTGAGCAGTGGGCAAAATCGGGTACACCCGGTCCAATCACGGCCATAATCGGGTACCCCTACAAGACGCTGATGGGGGCGACCGAATGACACAATCTGATTGGCCGAAGCCCGCTCCTACCCGACCTTGGCCGTCTTTCGGCCGGGTGCACCCGATCTTGGCTACTCACCCCCCGGAGGGATACCCGGTTTTTCTTTCCCCTACCCGAAAATGGCTGGATTGTTCGGCCAAAACCTATGCACACAAGGACACGTCAGCAATGCCCTGCCCTCGAATTCTGCCAGGCGACCCGCGGGGGGAGGCGACCCACCTCAGGCGGTGGAACTCTCGTTTGGGGGAAACGGCGGTCGGTCGGTACAAATGATCGCGAGGAGGAGCTGGATGAATACATCACACACGAGATGCGATACACACGAAGTACTAGAAAGAAATAGACATATTCTTCTGCTTCCCGCCGCTTTCTCATTGGGGACAAACGAGCACCCACAAGTGCGGTGTGCGACGAACCCGTGCTTGTGTGCATGGGTTTTGGTCGAACAGCCCAGCCATTTTCGGGTAGGGGAAAGAAAAATTGGGTATCCCTCCAGGGGGTGAGTAGCCAAGGTCGGGTGCACCCGGCGGAAAGACGGCAAAAGGTCGGGTAGGAGCGGGCTTCGGCCAATCAGATGGTTTCATTCGGTCGCTCCCATCAGCGTCTTGTAGGGGTACCCGATTATGGCCGTGATTGGACCGGGTGTACCCGATTTTGCCCACTGCTATACATTATTGCAAGCCCACGTGGGACGTCCCATTGGACAGCCCTGGGATGTCCCACGTGTCCCATGGGACAGCTAGGGCCGTCCCATGGCGTCCCATGGGACAGGTGCGACGTCCCGTGGGACGCGTGGGCCTTCCCTTGAGACACGTGGAACTGCCCGCGGAACACGTGGGACGTTCCACCTGTCCCATGGGACGGCCCACGTATACCATGGGACGTCCCACGTATGGGCTGTCCTATTGGATACGCGAAGTCCAATAGAAAACAACAAAGACACACCAAAACTCCCCCTCTTTGTGTCTACAGAAGTGGGACGGACCACGGAACACGTGCACGATCGCAGCCCGTCCCCCCCGCTAACTTTTGATGTCCCACAGCCACACGTTGCTTCCCGATCGGACGCGTGGGGAGTCCAATGTCCGCCCCATGGGGCTGGAACATTCAATGGCTGTCCCATGGGACACGTGGGAGGTGGTCATGATCTGCGATTCCCCACCGAACCACACCCTAGACTATACGTGCATCTATTGGTCGGCGGCATCATGTGACAGGTGCACGACGCGCGCCCGGTTGTTCGCATCGAATTGAAGTATGCTTCGAGGTCGCAGGAGGTTCCCCATCCGGTCATGGTCGTCGCGGTATAGTCAAACGTTCTTGGTCGATGTCTGGTGAATACTGCTGTACCCCAACAGGAAATAGAGCCACCATGTATGTATTTTCCCATACTACAAGTAAGGAATGTGTCACGACCCGACGACCATACTTTGAGTACCTATAAAACATGATTTTTAGCTGTCTGTGTGGATGTCGGTACCGTTATTATGATGGTAGAGATGGTAATCATTCATGCATGTTCCAACCCTAAGCTCGCCGGAAAGTATATGAACTCTTACCAGCGGATATCAGCAAAGAAAGGCAAACTGCCGTGATTACCCAATAGCTGTTATACCACTGTCTCAAACGGCTCACATTCAACTAGTTGCTGCAACTGTATTCCAAACGGAGAAGAAAATGTAGCCCAGCAAAGTTCCAAAAATTCCTCGAGAGCTTATGAATTATACACCCCGCAAGCGCCAGAACAAAATGCAGGCTACTCTCTACCCGTAGTGCAGCTCAGCTCAAAGTTCCAAAATGTACTGGAACGTGTGAGAACATCCGTCCAGTCGCAACATTCACAT